TAATGTATTTTTTTAAAACAGAAAATAATAAATAACCATGTTAAACTAATACAGTGCAAAAAAAAAAGTTTTAAACCTATAGTGCGCATATAAAATTTTCACGGCGCTATATTTTTCATCAACTCAAAGAATTCTAAAGTAACTTCCACTTTAAAGATACCAATTCAGGTAAATTCATAAGCGAAACTTCGGAAAAGCGTTACCTAAAAATACTTGTAAAGCCGCAATTCGCCCCCGTCAAAAAGCCAAAACCGACCAATGAAATTCAATTAAAAGTTTTGTACAAGTAACCCAAGCCAGGCAACATTAGCTAAAGCTCGATTAATTATTACTCTCTTAATGGACAAAGGAACTCGCAACACTCATCAAACAAGACACGAACCAAACTAGACAAAAGCTTGAACGTAAACAGCAATCGTTCATTCAGTGGAAGCCTGGAAAACTATCTCTTTCATCTATCTAGTTAAGATATATAGCTGTCCTTTTCATTCTACAAGGGAAAACTCTGGAGCAGCTATTTGTTTTTACAGTTGAGCGCGGACGAACAAATTAGGTGGACAAACTGTTGAAACGGCCGAGGTGTCTATATTCCAGTCTGCGGAAATTCTTCTTTTAAAATCGTTTGAGAGAGAATGTCGCCACGATTGAACTGAGCGAGGTAATAATTTCCTCGCTCCATGGAGATGTTCGTTCGATCTCCGTATTATTGGCGGATACTTAAGGGATTTTCGAGCACGGTGGCGATATCCCCTATAAGTGTTTTGTTCTTTTCAGTTTTTTTCACTGCTTTTATCTTAATCTTCCTTGTTATGTTTTCTCAACATTTTATTATTATATTAAAAAATGTGTACATTATTTATTAATAAATTGTTATGGTAACAGTTCCAATCAAATAATCTTTAATATTTTTTTAATTAGAGAAATATATTTATTTATATGCTTTTATACATATACTTTCAATATAGATATTAGGATATAACAAAAATGTACACAGGCGGACATATTTCTTGAAGAGATTTCTTTCAATCATTCTTGCAAAACCGGAAAGAGAAAATAACTATAAAAATTATATATAAAGCATAATATATATGGTGTAAAAATAATATGATAAATTATATTATTAATAACTATATAATATGTAAATTACCTAATTTTTAAATACACCTATTTTTTGTCAGTATATTATGCAAGTATGTAATCTTATGTATAATAAATATGCAATATAATCACTGTAATATTTTTGACACAATGTATAATATCATGTTAGTTCTCGTAACCAACCACAATTCTTAGGCATAACTAATTGGGTGTCACAGTATACGTTAAATTTAATAAACTTTATTAAATTGTTATGTTGATAATAAAAACATTAATAAATCAATTCAATTAGTAAATAAATTCAATTGTAACAAATGTACAAAGTCGTAGGAATACTGAAGAATAAAATCGATAAAAAGTTGAGTGGAAACTTTTATAAACAAAAATGTGAACGAACTCTCGTGAAAAGCGGTTACAGGTTTCGGGAAGCCATATCAGTACTGTCTGTAAGTTGGTGCACACATTTCGCGATTGGTTTTGCAACCAGTCTGAAGATCTTACAGAACTTGTTCGTGAGGTTGTTAGAATATTATAATAACAATGGATTTCAAAATTATTTAATATTTAAAATTAACAAAGTATTCAATGATTTAATATTTACAAATGTGTTGACTCTATTTTCGCTCAGAGGTTTTAAATTACCTTTGTATATAAGTTAAAAAATATTTAAAATCAAGTATAACAATATTCATTTACTTGGCCTGCTTTTACAGAAAACAAGACAGATATTACTTTCATTAAAGTAGATATTTACTCTGACATACCCATATTTTTTTTAATATAGTAAACCATATAAATGGCAATCTCTAGCTGCCCTTTGAACAAAATTAAAGAAAATAGTGAATACATTAACCAAATAATACTCTAAAATAGTTTAATCTTAAAAATAACCACATTAACTTAGTCACGTTGTTTGTCGAGATTGTTTAACTTGCGAAACTTCTGACAATGAAATCACTATAAAATATTAAAACAAACTCTTCATAATTAAATACATGTTTAAAAGAATCCTTACATTAATAAAACAAGGAAACAATGTACTATCGGATGAAAATAGACAACTATAGCAGGCGCCAGACAAGCCGGCGCCTGCCGTCGCGCCGAACCCGCCGCCGCCGCCGCGCCCTTTCAGACATATAGACGGAACCAAATCAACTCCTCTTACCAACTATGTGACTCGTTTCAATACCGATTTCGACCTAGCAACGATTTCGATTTGTTACTTTTCCCCAGCGAAACTTTGTATGTAATCAATGGTCTGTGTGAGACGAAATTCTCACAAACACATGATGTAACACAGCAATAGTTTTATTTGATATCCCTTTTCTAAATTCTTACAATATTTCCGACAATTTCCTTTGTGTTATTTCATCTACTAACTAAAAATGTTGCTTTCATATAATTTGATTTAATAAAGTAGCCTTAGAATTTTATACGTTTTTATTATTTGCATTTTATTTGTAAAAAAAAACTATTTATATATAAATTCCAAGTATCTCTACTAGATTATTAAATGTCCGTTTCATTATCAGAGTCCAATTCATTGATGCATTAAAAAATTCTGCTTAAAAATTTATTGTAGTAAATACTAAATAGCGAAGTTGATACAGAAAACAGGATATGTTAATAATATGATATGAATAATGACGCATAGCGTTACTATGTATGTACTATGCTTACAGCATTTGTACCACGCTTTACCTAGCGATAATCGTTTGATTGACTGCATCTACGCTATGTGAGCAAAGAGCTCTAATCCCTCCCTTCTGTAGTGCATAAATTAAATTCTAACTAAAGCTCGTAATGAACATTAACTTCCTGAACAATAAACCTAAATTGATTAACATCTAGTTTAATAATATTCTATTCAAGATATATTTTGTGAAATACCTTGAAATTTTAAATACTAAAAATCATAAATGACATCGAATATGTGTTTGACCTCAATTTAAATTTCGAACCTAAAAGTGATTTTACCTATAAATGAGTAAAAATATTCAATTAAAAATAATATGTAATCACGACTTCACCCCTACATAAAGCTTCTGCTTATTTCGTAGGGATGAAAAGGCCATAATCTTGTGATATGGTTTCTGAATCTTTATATGCAGGCGATCTGTGGATCACCAGATGATGTTATCCTCTATCTGATGCATCTGTTTTCTCCAAACTTTCATTCACGTATCTTTATCGAATGCTCTTAAATTCACTTCTCTTGATGTTAATGATGATGCGGTCGATACATCGAAAATGTCCGCAATCGAAATCTGCTTATTCAGTTAAAACTTTTATTTGCATGGTTAAAATTTTTTGTCAATATTATTCACGACAACATTAACAAGTTTAGTAACATGAAAATAGGAAGTACCTATATATATATATATATATATATATATATATGTATATAGGAAGTATCATATTTAAAAATATCAAAGCGATATCATTTATAAAGCTAAGGTATAGAGTTGAGACAGACAGACAGATAGATTAATTCGAACTAGAATCTTTTATAATATTTAGTACGAAAGTTTATTTATGTAACTTAGAATAACAAACAAGCTGACGATCCATCTACTGGAAAATGGTAACCTGAACACATGAATAGTACCATAGACAACAGAATAAAAAAATAATAACAACAAAATAATAACTTTAAAATTATATTCTTATTGTTTTTTGATTGGACCAAAAACTAATCTTCTTTACACTGTTTCTTGTGTTATTTTCCTATAGATACATTATGAAAAAGAAGTATTTGTACTCGTATTATGAATTGTTATTATATTAGTATAAAAGGATGTAGACACACTTATACTTTAGATAAGCAAACGTGTTACATTTACTGTAACCCTATAAGCAATCTTAAGCTAGTTATTAGATAATAAAACAAGTTGTGTAAGAAAACAAGCTATTTATAAATCTGTCCGTTTACGGGATCGGCTAAAGGCGTTGAGGCGACATCCACTCTATTTGTCTCGGCTAACACAACCGCTGCCCACTTCTCGTAGTTGCCTCCCAGTAGTTTGCGCTGAGGGTTTTATCGCTTTTTATTTAGGGTTGTTGCTCGGTTTCATCTTGAGGTGCTATTTTAGAATTACTTTGTTGTGATATTTTCATGAATTACAATACCGATAAAATGATAATTAAATTAAAAAAATTATGTGTTTTTAATAGATTATCCTGTTACATATTGTTTTTGAAAAAATTAGTCTCACTCTTGGAAGAAGTAATTTTAAGTATTTTTATTTTATTGAATATTACTGTTGTATCTAAGATAAAGGTATACAAAAAAAACATTCCGTAAGTATATAACAAAACTTAGAGATAAATGAAGAAATAAAATATCACACACGATAGGTAATAGAATCAAAAATTAAATTAGAGTATCGAAACGTTAGCTGAAAACAACGCGCAATTCTGTTCGGAAGTGACATGGCGCCGCATGGCCCCCAGAGCCGCCTTTGACATTTCGATACCGATTCCAAAATACAACCTTCACATGAATGAAATAGGAACTGAAATATAATGCCACACTTAAATAATATAATCTTTCGTTTCGCAGCTGCCATCGTCGCGAGGAAAATTTCCTTTTATTGTGTTAGCGAATACTTATTGTATATCCGAACGTTTTCCCCATTGTAACAGCTACGGAGTCGCACCTCTTTGGAATTACTCTACAATTGTATGATGACAAATCGTAAAGACGATACATTAAGTTCTCTTCAAAAGCAAAATTATTATAGTTTCTATTGTTACATTATTTACTTCTCTGGAATTCTTAAAAAGCAACGCCACGTATAAATTTCAAGAGACACAATGTTGACAGAAATAATGAAGTCATGTAAGCTCGGTTTACCAGATACCTTTTAAATCATTACTTAATTCTACATCTAAGGACTTACCTCTTCCTCAGTGGTGGCGGTATTAACGGAGTCCATACTTTGACAAAGCGCCAGCTCCATATTCTTGTGCTGGGGTGATGCGGCTCGCGGCGAAGGCTGCTGCGGCGGCACCAGCGCGCCTTGTGTCGCTCCTGCCGCCTGCTGCACGCCTGCGCCGCCCGTTGCCGCAGGACTCTGAGCCGTCTGCAGACCTTGAGCCGCTTGCAGGCTTTGAGCCGCTTGAAGACTTTGCGCGGCCTGAAGGGTCTGTTGCGCCTGCAGACTTTGCTGCGCCTGCAGGTTTTGCAGCGATTGATGGGCCAGGTTCAATTGGTGCTGCTGCACGATGCTTTGTTGCACTATGCTCTGCTGCACTTTGATATGTTGGTGCACCGCGAGTTGGTGAATGGGATGAAGGGAAGTGGGGGGTGCGGGGTACGGAGGGGAGAGCCGCTGGCGCTTCACTTGCGCACTCTGAAGCGCTTCGTGCAGCCTCTTCACCGGGAGGGGGCTCTGGCCGAGGTTATCCACGGCTGTGGCGGGGCGTGCAAGCCGAGTCACGTGACTCCGGCAAGCACCGACTATTGCAGCGACAGGCGATGAACCGCGCGCGGTGCGACGCGGTACCGGTATCGGCGTATCGACAACAGCGCAGCACTACGCTTGTTGCGGTACGCTTGATAATTGACTCGCGAATTTAAATTATTTAAAGAATTTATAATTCTAATGTTTATCGAGATTTCAGTGCTTGAGCACTTCTACTAGCATTCGTGTAACTTGATCCTCTGCTTGTAAACCACTTCTGAAAAGAAAAGAAAAAATTATTTTACTTTAGAGACGAAACAAAAATAATTAGAATCTTACTCTTTTTTAACTTAAATAACAATTTTATAGGCAGCCGGAATCTTTAAAAATATTACATTCAAGAACGTTTATTCTAGTTTTAAATTATCCGATTTTACTTAATTTCAATTTAATTAAAGTTGAAATCCTCTTTGATTAATAAAAGATAAGTATTCTCAAGCGATTCCCTTTACAATCAAAATTCCCTTTGAACTACAGATAAGCCCCAATACTATCTATCAGATATTAATACCTAAATTGTGTTGCTGTTGTTAAGTAAATATCAATCTATACGAACACATTATAAAGTATCAAAAAGAAACATTTATATACGGCAAACAGCAACCGCTCAACCGAATTAATATACGTTACTAACCTTCATTTCATTAAGAAAAACAATATAAAATAACAATCTAATTGTTTCTAATGATTAAACTAGCAATCACGGTTGACATCTCCAACTTCAATTTAAAATTTAAAAGATTGCATGTTTAAAACATAAAATTATTTTATTGTAAGTACTTCCTTAATTAATAATTTGCTCTAGAAATTAATTTAGCAATTTCTACGTTGCTTGATGTGTCATAGTTTTAAAAATACTTCTTACTCTATATACTCCTAAACAACTTGAACTTGTCCTTGATAACAAATTGTAATTAATTACAATGCGAGCAAGCTATATTATATATTAATCCAAAAACATAGAATAGGTTTTACAACGCGACATATAAAAATAGTTATTATAAAATGTCAAAGAGCGCCGATTGCATCCATGTGGGTGGTGTGAAACCATTTAAAACTGTTAGTCAGAGTAATAAACAACCAGAATTATCTAAATTGAAGACTAGATGGATGATATCAGTCATGTGCACGTATTTCAGTAGAACGACCTATTTCTTGCCGTAACATGCGGTAGGATAAATTACAACGTATGATTTTGTGGACCATATTCGAAACTGATTCAATCTTGACAGAATGTGATCAGTATGAAACTGAAGCGTTTCGTTTTAAAGAAATAATCTTCAAAATACGTTCAAAATCAGCGAAAATACTGAGAAATATACAGGCGAATTAACAAACTATACTGACAACTAAACACTTTATAATAATTTGAGTGCCAACCTTTGCAAGTTTGATGTCCAAATCAGAGCGTTGCGTTTTTTCGCAATATTTCAATCAGTTATGTAGACAATATTATGACACAAGTGATAAAATATGTATAATGAACTAACATAAATCATAAACTTAGCTTACTTATATTTTAAAATCATGCTAGAATAATAATAACACACAAAATTCCAAGTCTCGCCCATTTACAACTAAATACAACTTAGTTATTAGACTTGGAATATTAGTAAACAAGAGCTTAATCGGTAAAATAAATATTCTTACTATTACAAAAAATAATAATTTATTATAAAACCAAATCTCTCCAAAATATTTGATAATTTATTAATGTAGGTAGTATTTACTATTTATGCGGTACACAATAATTGGCACCTTCACATTAAGAACATACTTATTATACCCATCATAAACCGGACTCAAAGGTACATACATACTGTAACAATCACGTGTAAAAACATTAGAAGCTTCAAGGCTAAGTTTTTGCTGCACACCGTGACTAAGGCGCAGACAAAAAAACTCGAGATTACCTAGTTACGTGACCGTAGATCATACTTTAAAGCAAAATATGATGTACTTATAAATACAAAGTAACAGAACTAAACCAGCCAATAAATAGGATGTTACTTCTAAATAATATTGAATAAAGCAGAAACTATAGTTGGTTTCAATAAAACTTAATGCAATTAAAAATCGTTTGTTTTTAATTATATTTATAAATTAACATAAGACAGTCTGTTGATGTGCTATACTAGCATAAATAAAAAATCTATTATTTAATTGAATGTTTGCATTTATTACTAATATCATTCAGAGAGATATAATCTGTGATTTTGAAGAGTTAGTTCCCCAAAATAATACATATAAGAAAAACTTATAAAAGCGTTCATTAAAAGCAAAAAGTAATACTTTTTGTCTGTTTTGGATCTTCAAATTTTTGGGTATATAGTTCTATTAAAATTATAGGACTAAATTTATTTTCATACACGTAAAATAAAAATAAACGTACAAAAAATTAACTTTTTGTCCGTTTAGGTCTATTAAAATAATACCTACTACAAATAGTCGAACTAAACGGGAATAAAAGTCTATTTTTTTTCTACTGTCTGTAATGTGATAGAACTAAATCGAAGACCTATACGGATATTTTTTTTTCTGTAATAAAACTTGGTTAACTTTTTATTATGATTTATTGAAACAGACCTATTACATCTACGTTTGAAACTATAGATGTAGATATATCAAGCGTTCCTGTTTTTATAATATCACGTATTTTATTTGGTATTATTCATTATCATTCATTAGATATTTGTAATACTTGGTGGATTTCAAGTGTTATCTAGAGAGCTATCCTTAACTCTTAATCTAGTTTTTATGCGTCGCCCCGCAACTATTTTCGCTACACTAGGTATTTACCACTATTGTTATATGTGTAAGGCTGCTTATGTACATAATATTAGTGTGTATGTATGTGTATATTTGTATAGAATAAGCTTACCTAAAATTAAAATACCTAATAAGAAACTATGAGAAATCTTGTATAAACTGGATACACGCTATGCACATGCTAAAAATTAGATTACAAGCATTTTTAGAACTAAATATTTAATACAATTACTATAATATCACACTCATTACTACTGATTTGAATAATGAAAATTAAAAATGAGTTGTTTTTCCCTTTTTGTGTATAAAAATAATATTATTTATTTCTTTTTTTTTTCATTATATGTTTAGCTACTGACATAAAATATAAGCGGCAGTAAAACATATATTTTTTCGAAAATATTTCATTTCAGATTGATTCCATCATTGGTTGCATCATCAAACAATGATGAATAACTTTGTCAACGCTGCAATTACTAAACAAAGATTGCAAGATCCACAAAAACACAATAACACGGTTCATTTTTATAATAACAGTAATTTTGTAACCTCGAATTAAATTTAAGTCAACTGTAAAAAAAATATGAAACTATAAAATTATGTTCAATAACTACGGCACAATCCGTCATAGATAAACATGATTCAAATAGGTTCAGTATAGATTTGTCGTGTTTCATTATAATGTAGCAATTTACTTTTGCATTTAACTGCTTAATTAAAATAAAAAAAAAATAAAACATATACACATATACCTATTATAATTTTATATACAATTCTCGAGTCGCGGTGTTTGTTACCAAACTCCTCCGAAACGGCTTTACCGATTTTTATGAAATTTTGTGTGCATATCGGGTAGGTCTGAAAATCGACCAACATCTATTTTTCGTACCTCTCAATGATAAGGGTGACCCACTCCTAAATTTTTTTTTAAATTTTTTTGACAATTTATTTTATTTTTCTTTTATTATGATTTAGCATTAAAAATACATACAAATTCACGCTTTTACGATTGACCCCTGTTGTTTAATCCCAATTTTTATATGCCGCAATAGGGTTGCAAGATGGCAATAGAATATAATAATTGTAGTACGATATATTTTCATATATAGTTTTAGAAATAATGTATATGGTAAAACGAAGGCAGTTAGTAATTTTATAGTAACATACTATTACATATTATTACATAAATACATACATTACATACATATTACTTCGTACGAGCGATTGGAAGTTATTGACGGACAGCAACTTTATTATAGCTACTTGAAAATCAGACAGTTTCTACACCCTAAAAATACTTCTGTATGTAGAAAATATTATATTGCTAACATAATTAGTTGAGTCATTAATTTTCGCATTTATAATATTAATAAAGACGACTCTAATATAAAAACAAATATCCTGACTGGAATCTCAATGAGCACATAGATACATGATCAATGTGTTAGGTTTATCAAGATATGAGAACTTTGTATCGTACCTAAATAAATGTTAGGGCCTTACATCTTCGCTGTACACAAAACCAAACTTTTACACTTAGGGGAGTACAGGCCCGTAGAAAAGCACACAGCGCAATATTTCCTACTCTGCTGAATACTTTAATCCTGTGGTGTATTTATGCCGCAATGCCACCATAAATAAGTCCCGACCAACTCTTACAGTTTCCATTTGTTATAACTACTAAGTCCCTCAGAGATCCCGGACTTCGACGGAGCTTACGAGACTGTACTATCTGCGCTTCGGATAACTGATATAATTTTAAATTCAATCACAAGATTTTTATTTCACACTCAATTTGAAATGTAAAATAAAATGTGTTGTATGGGTGGATATATATTAAGGTAACTATTCTCTCTTCTCTTCTTTAGTAAGTACAG